TTTGTTCTCTTTTTTTGTAAAAATCCAAATATTAATTTTTAAATCTATTTACGAAGTAAAAATATTTGCAAAAGCAATAATTATATATTAAAGATTGAACCAATATTCACAATATTCACTATTTGCAAAATGTGATTCAATTTATCTTGCAAAAGAAATTGAGTTTTTGAAACAAACTCACATTTTCTAACCCATATAGCTTCGTAACCTGATGGTATAAACCTTTGATATTTCAAACTTAGACTATTTGATCTAATAGAATTAATAGTCTGAAATATCAAAGGGCTAGGAGAATGGGTTGCTAAGTTATAGGAATTAGAAAGTCAGAGTTTGTTGCAAATACTCATTTCCTTTGTAATAGTAACTAAAATTTGTCTTAAAATGTTCAGAATACATTCAAATATATTTTGTAATATAATTGCATTGTTTCTGTTCGCTATCTCATTTTTGATTAAGAACATATGTGTCTCTCGTTGATTTCTTATTATGCTTAGACCCCTTCCCTCTCTCCGTCTCCCTCCTTTATTAAAAGGGAAAACACCCGTAACTAACCAAACCTAGTCTGGAGTATAATCACGAGAGGTTGCTTTTTCAGAGGGAAGGATGGGGTGGAGGGGGGGTGCATCCCCCGAAGGATGGGGTGGAGGGGGGGGTGCATCCCCCCCCTTTCCTGTTGTACAAAATTCATTGAATTGATATTCTTTTATTTTTGTAAATGCTTTCATATTAAACTTTCAAGGATTTGCGACTTAGATCGAGATTTCTTTACAATTCTCAATATTTCTCAATATTGAATAGCACTTTAAAAATGTCAGAGCAATGCCTTGATACATCTTTAAATATAAACATCAGCTTAATTGAAAAATGTAATGTTAGATCTATATATTATAGTATCCTGGGAGTTTGCAACAAGTAAATGCATGGGAAAATGCACTTTTCTTCCAAAACTGCATTGTTGGTTGTGACAACTAATATTTCAGAATTTTTTTATATTTAACATCAGACTATGCATGATTTAACCCTATTTGGGGGGGGTCCCTGTGACCCCCCCCCCTGACGTTTTAAAGTATTTGTCTGAGGCTGTTCAAATTTTTTACTTTTCTAACTAAGACACGCCCCTCACTTTAGGCACACAGCGGAGCTTTTATACCTACTGCCTGAGTCCTCAGGCATACCCTCTGAATGCCTTATTTTACCTTTGTAATACTAAATCTATATTTAGACCTACTTCGGGTCATTTGATTTCGACTTTCTATAGCTCTTTGAAAAGCCTTGAACAAAAGAGAGCATATTGCACAATTTTTGCGAAGATATAGATTTTTGCACAAATGTCTTTAAAAGAATTTGCACATTTTTAGTTTTCCTTGAATACAAATTTAGTTTTTCAAAATTTTGCAAATCTTTTTGCTTATTTGAATTCGCCGTGGTTGGGGCTTTTCAAAAATGTATAACTTATCATATTTTGTGCACTTTTTGTTTTTGCACATTTTTGCTTTATAACTTATTATTAATTATAATTGCAATAAATATTTAAAATTTTGCAAATTTGCAAAT